TTCCAGCTACTTGGAAGGTTGAGGCGAAAGGATTGCCTAAGCCTAGCAGGTTAAGGTTGCGGTGGCTGTGAACATGACACTGCACTTCAGCCTGGGCGACAGTGAGACTCGGACACACACCCAAAAAAAAAAAAAAAAAGAAGAGAAAAGAAAAGTTTGTTATACAATTTAACAGTTAGCATCTTGCTAGTGATGATACCTACTGGAGGTGACAGCAGTGGTATGACTGATTTTAATGTGTGGCTGCCACCAAGTGGCCATATTTGAGAATTGCTGGTTTCTGTTGTCACATATATATATGTGTGTGTGTGTGTATATGTGTGTATATGGTACTGGGCCCTCTAGGTTAACAAAATGAGGGAACTGAATGGTTTAAGAAGCATCCTCCATACCACTAAATGCTTTTTTTTTGAGTTGGTGTCTCACTCTGTGGCCCAAGCTTGGAATGCAGTGGCATGCTCACGGCCACCCTAGCGTCAACCTGCTGGGCTCTGGTGATCCTTCCACCTCAGCCTTCCAAGTAGCTGGAACTAGAGGCATGCACTAACACACCCAGCTAATTTTTGATGCATTGTAGAGATGAGGTCTTGCCAAGTTGTCTGGGCTGGTCTCGAACCTGTGGAGCCAGGCAATCCATTCACTTTGGCCTCCCAAAGTGCTGGTATTACAGGCAAGCCACCAAGCCCAGCCTAAATGCTTTTCAAGGAAGAACATTTTCCTTTCAATCTCTAAGCACACTTTGGCAAAAATCAAGTCTATATAAATGTTAGGTACAGCTATGCTGCAATTTGGGGTATATTATAGATGATATATTAATGGCAATCTGGAAAAATAGTTTTAACTTTCCCTTAGACATATTCTTAAGTCCCTGAGCTGGAAATAGCTGCTTACCTTCCACATGGCTCTCTGCTTAACCACACCTACCTTCACCTCATTAGATAGTTTAGGACAGGGGTCATCCAACAGCAACAAACAGGATGAGTGTCAGGAGAGATGGCAGTAATAACAGAGCACATCTGAGTTTGGTGGTATGGCTTAAAGGATGCTTATCCTTTAGAGAACTAGAGACTTACAGGCCAACTTGGGGTTTGGTCCTCATAATCACGACCACCATCCTCAAGTTTTAAAATGTAAGGTCACATCCATTATTTGCTGAAGCACCACAAAATTCTCAGGGACTTCTGTTTCTCCCATCTGTGAAATTGGGACAATGATCCTGTCTATCCCACAAATGAAATCAGAGATTACTATCTTGCCTGCACTAGGCTGTGACTCACCTTCAAGCTTCTTCTTTTGACCGACTGGAGCACACGGCGGTTAGGAGGGTGCTTCTTGTGGATTCGGTTCAGAAAGTCCACTTTGACAACGTGCTGTGAGATGGTGTCCTGGAAACGATCAAATACCTGGCACCGATTGCTCAGTGTCATATTCTTCTGGTTCAGCTAGGGACAAAGCAGACATATCCCTGTGGTGAGCCTCAAAAGGCAATCCCCTCTAGTTAACCTCATTCTCTGAATTTAAAATCTAGACGCCCTCGGCCACATGGTTTCCTTCAATCAGAAGCCAGGATGTCAGCACTCCTGTCAGAGGGAACATGGATAAGACTTTCCCCTCAGCCCTCCCTAATCCAGTGGAGAAGAGCTGGCATGTCCTTGTTCCCTAGAGAGGCTTGAGGAAGATAGGAAATAGGGAATCAGCCAAGATGTGCTACTCCAAATTCAGCCTCTGATAGTCTTCTGCTTCAGCTCAGAGCATCCTTTCTCAGGGTACCCGAATAGCACAGGTTTCAGAGGAGACATAGGCCTTGCCTGTCAAAAAATCCAGACTGCCCAGCAAGGACCTCTCTCTCACAGGAAGCAGGACTGTGTCCTACATAGGAGTTTGGCTGACAAACGAGTCAGCACCAGAGTTCTGTGTACCCTGTCCTATACCTACTCCTTAGTACCAGGGAGCATTAATGAAGCCATTTTGATATCAGCCATCCCCCACGGAGGCAAACCTTGGATTGCTTTTTTTTTTTTTTGAGATGCAGTCTCACTCTGTCACCCAGGCTAGAGTGCAGTGTGGCATGCTCATGGCCACTGCAGCCTCAACCTGCTGGGCTGAGGTGATCCTTCCGCCATAGTCTTCCAAGTAGCTGGAACTACAGGCGCATGCCACCATGTCTGGCTAATTTTTTTGATTTATTTAGAGACGAGGTCTCACCCTGTTACCCATGCTGATCTCAAATCCCTGGGCTCAGGCAATCTTCTCGTCTCTGCCTCCCAAAGTATTGGGCAGCCTTGACCTCCTAGGCTCAGGCAAACCTCCCACTTCAGCCTCTCAAATACCTGGACTACAGGTGCACTAACATGCCCGGCTAATTTTTTTTTTTTTTAAACTTTTTGTAGAGATGAGGTCTCGCTATGTTGCTAAGGATGGTCTTGAACTTCCAGACTCAAGCAATCCTCCTGCCTCTGCCTCCCAAAGTGCTGGGATTACAGAAATGAGCCATCACCTTGGCCAAGTTTCCTCTTCTATATCTAGTACCCTACACTTTAATTCAAAAGAAAGAGCTTGTTGTAGCAGCTTCCTAATTAGTAAAAACCTTTAAGTGGCTAATAAAAAATTAACCAACTAATAATATTTCATTTGCTGGAAAGCTGCTCTTGAAGGTTCATATTTAGGTAAACTGCTTATGGCCATTTTTTTCTGGTTTAGCAGGAAGCAAAATAAGACATCCAGACTGAGCCTCCTAGATAAATCTTTGAGTGGCATGCTTTAAAAGAATACAAAATAACTCTTCTCTTTCACTTGTGCAAATCTTTTTTTTTTTTTTTTTGAGTCAGAGTCCGTCGCCCAGGCTGGAGTGCAGTAGCACACTCGCCACTACTCCAGCATCGACGTGCTGAGCTTTGGCAATCCTTCTGCCTCAGCCTTCTAAGTAGTCAGAACTACAGGCGCCAGAACTATAAGCGCATGCTAACATGCCTGGCTAATTTATTTATTTATTTACTGTAGAGATGAGATCTCACCAAGTTGTCCAGGCTGGTCTCAAACTCCCCGGCTCAGGCAATTCTATTGCCTTGGCCTCCCAAAGTGCTGGGATTACAGGCTGAGCCACTGAGCCTGCACCCCAACCTTTTTCTTAGTAGGAGTCTCTCTCTGTCATCCAGGCTGGAGTGCAGTGGCATGCTCACAGCCACTGCCGCCTCAACCTGCTGGGCTCAGGTGATCCTTCCACCTTCTACCTCAGCCTGCCAAGTAGCGGGAACCATAGGCATGCGCCAACATGCCTGGCTAATTTTTTTGACTTATTGTAGAGATGAGGTCTCACCAAGTTGTCCAGGTTGGTCTTGAACCTATGGGCTCAGGCAATCCTCCCGCCTCCACCTCCCAAAGTGCTGGGATTATAGGTATGAGCCACCGTGCCCAGTTCTAAACTTTTTTTTGAATTGGAGTCTCACTCTGTGTCCACGCTGGAGTGCAGTGGCACACTCATGGCTACCCCAGTGTCGATCTGTTGGGCTCTGGCAGTCCTTCCGCCTCAGCTTCCAAGTAGTTGGAACTAAAGGTGCACACTACCACAACTGGCTCATTTTTAATTTTATTGTAGAGACAAAGTCTTGTCAAGTAGCCTGGGCTGATCTCAAACCCATGGGTTCTGTCAATCTACTCGCCCTGGCCTCCCAAAGTGCTGGGATTACAGGCTGAGCCACCAAGCCTGGCCTAAACTTCTTTTAAAGATAGTAAGTGATGGGCAACCCCCGTGGGTCCCCTCCAGCTGTGGGAGCTTTCCTGTCCTCTCAATACATCTTGCTTTCTAAAAAATAAAGATAGTAAGTGACAATTCTGTTCTGTGCTCAGGAAGCAGTCTGGAAAAGGTACCCAAGACTTCGGGAAGATAAGGCAATAGGACTCTTGGAACATTCATTCATTCAACAGCTTACTTATTGAACTCTTGGTTTTTTTTTTTTTTTTT